TTGATTTGATTGACCTGCATATTATTTTCAGTGTCGTGCTTTGATTTCAGTTATAGGCTTTGGTGACCTGCTGGGCTATTTAAGCTCATTATATGTGGTTAATATTTTAGGTGTAGAGCCTCCCGCGTGAAGCTTCTTTGGTTGCTAGCGTAGTCTTGTTTTGTTGCCTATGGCAGGCCTTTGTTTTGTAGCCGTTGGGCTATTGTACATATTCTTTTGGACGATATTTTGACTGTGTATATGTGGAAATGTGAATTATAATAGATGTTGTATCTCTTTTCTTTATTTCGTTTCTGTAATGCAATTATCTCTGGATGACCGTATTGATTTGAACGAGAAGAAAGATGAAAAGAATGATAGATAAAAGAAAAAAAGTATGGAAAAAGAAAACGATAGATGAATCCTTTCACTATTGATATCTGGGGCATTACATAAACACCCACGTAAATGATTCAATTGTCTCTTCAGACAAGAAGGCCATCCCAAGCAAAATGTTTTGCCAATGATTGTTAACCCCGACAAATGGTGCGCATACCAAATTATACTTATTTAGCCTATAACTTGTATAAAAAATTACCACATCACCAAAGCAGTCATAATCTATCTTACCAATCCCATCAACCCAAAAAAATTTAACAATCTATCAAATTCATAATTCTGGACATCCCAAGAGAACATGTTATCATTAAGTTGACATTCTTTAAATAACTCAATCAAAGTATTAGTGTCCCCAAGTTTAATCTTTGCTCTTTTTATTATTTGAATAAAGTTGTACGCATCCCTCATTGTGAATCCAATATTTTCGACACCTCCAACTTCATCAGCAAGGAAGGAAAATGCATCAGTGATTCTTATCCCAGCATCTATCATTGCTTTAAGAACAGAAGCTTTTTCCTCACACATATTCCTGCATGATCTAAGAAGATGCCGGTTTTCTGGCCTAGGCAAATCATGATTGTGATTTTCAATAAATTTTTTCACCTTCCAATATTCACCTTCATCCATTGTAAACATAATCATAGCTGGACAACCTGTTCGGGTATCTGATCTTCGATATTTCCTTTGGATATTAAGATCAGACAACTTCTTGAAACCAGCTTTTGAGCAAACAAAGTCCTTGGATTTTAAATTTCTGGAATTGGGCCAATAACTGTGATGATTCTTACGAACACTAAAACTAAGATTATATCCATACTTACGATAAGCCTCGTATGTCTCTTTCTCATTAACATAAACATCATGATAAATAAGCAATAAATGAATTATCCAATACGCAACCAATACGCAACCAATAAGCAACAATTAAGCAAAGCAATACCCAACCAATACACAACAGATACGCAATAAAATCACAACATATGCGCAATTAATACGCAATGTATAATACACACATAATACTCAATATATATCAAACCGATAAGCAATACATACACAATTAATACGCAACAAAGCTTTGCAATAAGAAAATCGAACTACAAATTCGTTATTGTACCCTAGATCAATAATACTATAAAAGAAGGGAACATCGAGTCATGCTTCTAAAATAAATTACAATTTAACATTATATACATTGTTGATAATAATTACATCAAGAAGGGAACATCTAAAATATTTGTACCCTAAAATAATCAGAGAAAAATGACTATGTAAAGAAATTTGATTGCAACATTGCTATAAAGAAAACGTGGAAGAAGGCGAAGTTTATCGATAAGCTGAACTTTTCGTCTTGTATCACTGGTTCTACGTGTTCTGCTTCATGTGCACTTGTTTTCTGGACGTCGGCAGTCTCCAGGTTATCGGCTTCCTCCGAGACCTGCGAAAATATTGTCTGCTCATAAAAACTTGCATCTTCCTCTAGATCCAGATCAATCTCCATCTTCATCGGCATTTTTTATGCGAAAATTTTGGCTGTTCTGCGAAAATTTTGGCTCTAAGCGTTATATATTGCGGTGATTCGCACCTTAAATTCTGAAAAAATAAGCACCAAATTAAATTTAACGTTATCTCCCAGGTCGTTTACGCAAGTCAATTTACATTTTAACCTTGCAATCGAACACATCTTTGTGATCGGATTCACACAGAATAATTTCTATCCAAACAAAGCTTCTATAACCGGATTCCTCACAGAAAGCGTGGGTCTTTTCATTGAGACAATATACTTTGCCGCGCGGCCTGCTGAGCAGTCGATGATGAATTCCTCTGCGAGTGCGATTGACAGGGGCAAAGCAGTCCAGAAGGTGGGCGACGGCGAAGAAGAAACCCTAGAAGAGGTACTTTTCTTCTCCCACTCTGGGTTACCATATTTTTCTTGCTGGACCTTATAATTCTGATAGATCTGATTAACTTCTCCATTTGTTTTCAAACTTAATCTCTACTTTCTCCCGAGTTCTATGTCTCAGGTTTTCCGCGGCTTGTATGTGATTTGGATGAAACTGTGCTGAATGTTGGAAGCTTATGGCTCGATAACATTTTTTCTGTGCATTTAAACCATTTTCCGTTTTTCACTTTAACCAGCCACCAAACACACCGTGCGTAAGTTTCAAAACTGTTAGAACATCAGATCCCCTACCGTGTTCATAATATAGACCAGTTCACGTCTATTATCAAGTTATTTATTTGTTGCTTCTGGTGAGTTCTAGGAAAGAAAGGAGTTAATAATGTTTATATTCAAATCATTAAAGATATGTATGCAAGAGCTACTACTAGTGTTCAAACACAAGGTGGTTTGACCAGGTATTTTCCTATTATATCAAGGATCATCCTTGAGCCCATATCTTTTTGCTTTAGTCATGAATGTTCTCATTAGACATTTGCAAGAGGATGTACCTTAGTTTATGCTTTTTGCAGATGATATTCTTCTTGTTGATAAGACTAGAGAGGGAGTTGAAGGTAAACTTGAATTGTGGAGATCAACCTTAGAGTTTAAAGATTTTCGCTTTAGTAGATCTAAATTTGAATATATGTAGTGTAATTTTAGTAGTAATAGGACTAGTGAGGGGATTGTGATTTTGGGCGATCAAGTCATTAATAAGAATACACGCTTTAGATATCTCGGATCTATTGTTCATAGTGATGGTGAAATGATGAGGATATTATCAACATAATTCAAGTTGGATGGTCGAAGTGGAGGAATGCATCAGGCTTGTTGTGTGATAGAAAAGTCCCTCTTAAATTTAAGGGAAAATTCTATAAGATGATGGTGAGACCTGCAATGCCACACAAAATGTTGGTCATTAAAAAATAAACATAAAATTAAGTGTTGCAGAGATGAGGATGTTCAGGTGGATGAGTGGCTTCACTCTTTGTGACAAAATGTGAAACGAGTTTATACGTAAGAAGGTTGGAGTAGCTTTGGTGGCAGATATGATTAGAGAGTCTCCTTAGATGTTTTGGTCACATAAATGTTGGCCTTTTGATGACTCGGTTGAGAGAGTAGATGTATTAGATTTGACATATGTTAAGAAATATAGAGGTAAACCTAAAAAGGCTTGGTTAGAAAATATTAGAAATGACATTTTTTTTTATACTTTTTTTATTAGATTTAAATGAAAATTTGACTCTTAATATGACACAATGAAGAAAAAGGATTGATGTAGCCGATTTCACGTAGTGGGATAATGGCTTGATGTTGTTGTTGCAGTAAAAAAAAATGAAAATCAATGAGAATGCTGTACCCAAAAATAGATTTTACAGCTGTTTTGATTGTGGAACTTTGAAAAAGCTGACCTAAGTGAACCATTGTTATTTATTCCTAACATCGTGTATGCGTGTATGTTATATATATATATATATATATATATATTTGTTCTCAGCTCACCTTGCAAACATTAAGATTTACTTTTTTGCTTGCTCTTTCTTGTTGGAAAACTATGTAGTCACTTATCTCTTGGCGGGAAGCACCTAAATGTGTTCTGATATTCATTATTATCTCTTATATTACAATTTAAGGCACATGTTTTTCATGCAGTTCTTTAACTTTTATATGTGGACTATGTAATGTACCATTTAGGGTTTAAAGGACAAATTTGTATATACACAATTTTGTTGAGGTTCTATAAATTAATTATATGCTTCAGGTGCTGCTGGTTATTCCTCTTATGTATGGCTACTTCGGATACATCTCTCACTATTTATGCCCCATTTTAGCTTTGTTTTCCTAGACTGAAGCTTGGTTGACAAGGCTGGTTAACATCAGGAGCTTCTCGCCATTTTTTTTCCCTCTATTCAATGTTTGCTTATCTAACATAAACTTAATATTCCTCACTTCTTGTAGCTTGGTGATATAAGTACCACCAATATTTTCTTTCTTGAAGCTGCTTTCGAGTGATTATTTTTCTATTGCCAGGCATTATTTATACATAGAAAAATACTTTGTTCAATGAAATAGCTTCTCAATAACTTAGGAAACAGATTTTTAAGTATATGGTTATGTGAATAAATAGACGCTTTTAATGGTTATTATCTGCGTGATTCACCAGATTGAGGGCTTTGATGATTTCACAATTGCATCGACATGGGAAAGGTATTTCATTGTTTTTAGTATTTGTTCCATATCCCTTTTAATTATCTGGTTGCTAGGTTAATCGGCTAATAATCTTTTGTTTTTTTTTTTAATTGAGATGCTTTTAGATCTTTAGTGTTTGCTAATGCTTTTTAAGAATATTGTTAGATTCATTTCAGAAATAGAAGGTTTTTGTCGGCTATGGTTTGTTGACGGTCATAAAAATTTATTGGTATGTTCATTGCCTACAGCGCTCATTTTATTACAATAGTCTATCAATATTTTCATGTAAATGTTTTTTTTTTGACCATTTTTGAACTAGATCACAATTTTTAGTTTAATGATTTGGGCCTTTGCTGTATTCTTGATCTAAATGGAAAAACATAGCACGCATTGCATATGCTGCGTTGGAGAAAAATGATTATTTTTGCTCTTTAAACCTCAAGTGTCCATGATTTCCCGATGAAGTGCCTTTTTGGATGCAGGACAAAGGTGCAGAATGCTTGGCTTCAAGGAGTAACATGTACATGATCAAATGCGAGCTGAAACATGGTGTAAAGTTGTACATGATGGAGTACTATTTTCAGATACATGGCAATGGTGAATGTAACACTTATTTATTTTCTTCTTTTAGAAACCCTGCAACTCTATATTTTCGTTGACATTTTACTTTTAACGAGGGCAGATAAAGCTGAACAATGGGATGATGATTTGCATAGTATGCAGCTATCTTTTGGAGTAACTGAGTTCTTGGTAGACGTCCTGTTTCCTGTCTTAATTTAGGTCTTAAAGTTTCATTATAATGGGTTGATGAATTCTTTTTAGTTCTTCAATCTGACGCTAACACCAGTTATAACTTTGTTACATCATTGGTTGCTTATTAACCCTCCCCCCTCTCTCTCAATAGACATCTTTGTCATTTGTTCCATTTTCTTTCTTCCTCCAATACCTTGTTTCTATCTTGCGCAGATATATGCCTTCATCAATTTTTATTATAGAAAAAAGGATCAAAATCATCCCTTAATGTTCCTCAACTATATTAATTGACCATTTTGATCCCTCAAGTCTTTAAAGAGAAATCAAAATAGTCTTATGGTGGGACTATTTTGGTTTCTCCTTAAAGGGTTGAAGGACCAAAATAATCTTTTAACATAATTGGGAATCATTTTGGTATTTCATAAAGAGTTAATTGACCATTTTGATCATTTTCTCATTTATTATAATTCCTGCCTTTTTTGATGAAATAATATGATTTTTTAAGGATTTTTATGTTGGGTATTGAAGGCGATTATTTAACATTTTCTAACAGATTATAGCACCTATAAGTGCCAGTGGAGTTGTTCTGGATGCTCCCGAATCAAGCAAGCTTTTAAGTGCTGTTGCAATTGCTTTATCAAATTGTGGAAGGTTTGCAGAATAATCATCTTGTCCATTGTAGTTAACTGGAAATTTCTTCACATTTAATCATTTAGCCAAATACAAAGGATAAGGCAATTATTTTGATGTAGTAATCTTGTAAGTTCTAACTAGTTTTCCTAATGTTGGTAGCCATATAATATTCACGCTACAGTTAATGTTCAAAGGTGCCAAATGGTGCCCTTGAGGAATACCCTCTTCAGCCATGGTAATTTTAAAGTCGGGAAGGTTTAGCCTGCATAGAGTAGAAGCACATGCTATGCTTTTTATTTACTTAGTGATGGATGATTGCAAATGGTTTTTCTAATGCTCTCTTTGCCACAACCCACACATTGGCTTGGATGATTTTTTATAGTATCCATGCTGAGTGGGGTGCGTTGATGAATTTGTTGTTAATACAACAGCCAATATTATAATTATCTATCCACAATAAATGATTAGAGCATCTAAATCTGATAAAATTTACCTATTTACTCATCAAAATCTAACTATGCATTTACGCTTCCAACAAGAACTATATGATAGATACTTCACAAATCAACGACTATATAACATTAATCCAGTTTGTCCTCAGCCCTAAAGCATGAATCTCATGACTCTCATCTCGGACGCATAAACAATAGCGTGAAAGCCACAAAATGAATACATGTGAATTTGCTAGAACCAAACTTGGTGAAATTTGGTTAAGATTAGACATGCAATATGATAAATAATATGAAACAATTGAAAACATAACCAACAATTAAAACATATAGCAAGAACATCCACAAGGCATGGTATTTTAACAATGGGTATCACATAGTGGAGTAAATGAACATAAGAAATTGACAATTAATGAAATTGAATGCTAAAATAACGATGAACATCCACACTATAGTTAGATATATTGAATTGTACTGTTAATTTGAGTCTTGAAACTCTAATTCAGTCCAATTGAGGCTGGATTGAGTGAACAAATAGGACTAATGAGATCCATTCAAGGTTAAATTAAGGGGACATGTTGCATTAATGTGAAACCTTAATTCATTGTAGATGGTTAAAAAAAAATTAGATATGATTTATTCAAATCAGCAAGGAGGTCAAATTTCAAAGATAAAATCAAATTTGGAGCAATTGTTACTGACTTGAAAACCAACTCAACAATTCAAGTTAAGCATGGAGATATTCAAGGCTAAATCCAAGAGATATTGTAATTTTCACACAAAAAGTGAAGTAGACAGAATAATCTTCCACAATTCAAGCATAACTTAGGCCACAAGAAGAGCAGAGTGAAAAATCTAACCAACTCTCCTCAAAGGGAGGGAGGCAGTTGTATCAAGAGAGGTTTGTGATGTCACGAACGTCCATACATATTCCTCACTTGCTACAGGAGTTCCATGACAGTGCAGTGGGAGGACATTCAGGAGTACATAAGACCTATAGAAGGCTGGCATCTGAGCTTTACTAGAAAGGAATGTATAAAGATGTTAAGGAGATGGTGGTGATGTGCGAAGTGTGCTAGAGAAATAAATATATAGCAATGGCTCCAGGGGGACTACTACAACCCTTGACACTTCCAAATAGAGTACGGGAGGAAGTGTCCATGGACTTCATAGACGGCCTATCACGATCAGAAGGATTCACAGTCATCATGGTGGTGGTGGATAGACTGAGTAAGTATGCACATTTCATTCCCTTACGGCATCTCTATACCGCAGTGACAGTGGCAACAACATTCAGGGAGGCGGTTGGACTGCATGAGATTCCTGAGTCGATAGTGTTTGATCGAGACAATGTTTTCCTTAGTCAGTTTTGGAGGGAGCTGTTCAGATTGTAGGGCATTGATCTTAAGAGAAGCACCGTCTATCATTCGCAGACAGATGATCAAACAGAGGTGGTGAATCGCAGCTTAGAGCTTATTTGAGGTGTTTTGTTTTTGAAAAGCCACGACTGTGGGCTAAATGGTTAGCATAGGCTGAGTATTAGTACAATACTTCGTACCATTCTGCATCTCAGATGTCCCCTTTTAAAATATTGTATGGAAGAGACTCCCACACTTAGTGCATATTGTGAGAGGGAACACACCAGTTTATTCAATTGAGCGGTACCTAGAGGAAAGGGACAAGGTGTTGGAGGAATTGAAGAGACACCTGTCCAGGGTACAACAAATCATGAAAAACCAGGCAGATAGACGTAGGAGGGACATACAATTTGAGATGGGGGAGAAAGTATTCTTGAAACTAAGGTCCTACAGGCAGAGGTCAGTCGCCAACAGGAGAAATGAGAAATTGGCTTCAAGGTACTTTGCCCCCTATGTGATTTTGGATAAGATCAGAGTAGTGGCGTATCGTTTGAAGTTACCCCCATTCGCCACCATACATCTAGTTTTTCATGTATCACAGTTGAGAAGAGCTCTAGTTGAGCATGCAGTTTGTGTAGAGTTGCCAATCACACTGACAGAGGATTTGGAAGTGATTCTAGAACCATTGGAGTTGAGGGGAGTCCGATTGGACAAAAAGAGAAATAAAGAAGTGCTGATCAGATGGAGGGACCTTCTGATTTCGATGCCACTTGGGAGTCATATGAGAGAGTAAGGCTCCAATTTTCTTCTTTTCACATTGAGGACAAGGTGATTCTTTGGGAGGCGAGTAATGTTAGGCCGGCTGAACAGGTCCAACCTTGACCGGTTCAGGTGTACTGTCGCTGGCCTAGGGGTAGGGCGGAACCAAGAGATAGGGGGGTGGATGGCCTAGTGGGCCCAAGCCATTGTTTAAAATTGCACAATATGCGGCTCGCCTTTGTGCAATTCCAATAAAAATGCCTCGATGCTTACGCCTTGAGTTTTTTTTATGAGGCTTGCGCCTCAACTAGGCGGGCCTCACTGGCATGAGGCTTATGCCTCACTCTATATATATAACTTACATAAATCTTGAAGTAAATGCCCGACATTGGACTCTATAGGAGAGGAGGAAGGGGAGAGAGCAGTTCATCATAATGATGATTCAAATGAAGAACCCCTTAGTGATGACAGTGTTGATGACTTATGAGTTTTTATGTGATATGTCATTGCTATTTATTTTTGGAATTTGAATTATATGTTAATGAAAAGAATACTGTAAACAACAGTTCTGTTCTCTATTTTCACCAATTGTGGTTAGATTTGCTTGCGAACTCAAGTATTTCTCTTAGGGTTACTTGCGAACTCAAGTATTTCCTATCAGTGTTATATACTGTTTTTTATTATCTTGATGGGTTTGGTTATTCTTGCAAGTGTTTCAATTCAGCTATGTTCCGATTTCTAAGTTTAGTATTTTTGATCCACTGTTCCTATCCAACCACTGATTCTATAAGTTTTCTGTTGTTGACTTTTTTTTGTTGCTTATTAATTTTAACTAGAGTCGAGCCTTTGTTGGTGCAGTTCGTAGTTTTGGTCTCTGCACTATGGTGGAGATTGGGTTCTTGGATGAATGAACTGCCTTTTTGATGTGAAACAACATGCGATGGAAACAAGAACTTCTTGGAGATTTTAATATAAGATTTTAAAGCTTTGCTAGTTATAGAATTAATGCTTACCCAAGTTAGGTTTTCAGAATTATCAATTCGAAATTAAGTAAGTCATGCAGTTATAACTAGATTAACGGGACAATATCAAATTGACAACATAGAATTAAAGAGTAATGCTATGAGGAGAAACAGTAATCCACAATTAACAAATAGAACTTTTCACCTTGGGTCTCTCACTCACTCTCTTGTTGGTGGCACTTTTAATGGAGGAAGATTGAGAGCAACCGAGCGATGCCACTAGGAGACACATGTTGCACAAAAGCGTAGCCCGTTGGAGCGGTAGCCGGTGGCGGGTAGTCCATGGGATGATTAGTGAGCATCCAACGTCTTATCTGTTCTTCCTTAATCATCAAAGACGAAACCGTGGTCGATGTCGGGGTGGCGGCTTGGTGAGGTGGAGAGTTGGGGAGCTAATGATCATCCTCAATTTGAATTTCCCTTAGACAGAGGAGGGAAATTAATTGAGAATTTCAATTAATTCCATGAGAGGCCAGCGGTTTTCAGAGAAAATAAGGGATTAATTAGATTGGGATTAATAGCAGGTGAGAGGATTTGGCCTCTATGCATGGCGGCCATTTAAAAAAAAAAGGGTTAGGAATTGTGAGCAAGTGGGGCCCACACACTAGTCTACTAATTAAATAAAGCTGAATTTATTCTCGGATTTCTGAGAGGAGGCGTTTCCAAAATAGGGAAGTTATCAAATTTGAATTGCTCATTCAAATTAGACCCAATTAATATTGGAGCCACAAATCAAGGAGCTAATTTGGGAAGTATTTATGCAGCAATTTGAATTTCAAATTGGAATTGAAATCCAATAAAGAGGATTGCCTAAAATCAGGAATTAATTTTGGCAAGTGGGTAACAGCTCTTGGTGAATTTGAATTTCAAATTCAAAACCCAAGAGGGGCCGGCGGGTAGAGAGGTGGAGGGGGAAGGAGGCGGCTGCAGGGGGGAATATCCCCATCTATTTCACCATCACTCTGAACAATAGATCCAAGATATCTAAAACGTGTACTCTTATTAATGACTTGATCGCCCAAAGTCACAATCCCCTCACTAGGTCTATTACTACTAAAATTACACTCCATATATTCCGTTTTAGATTTACTCAAGAGAAAGTCTTTAGACTCTAAGGTTGACCTCCATAATTCAAGTTTACTTTCAACTCCCTCTCTAGTCTTATCAACAAGAAGAATATCATCAGCAAAAAGCATACACCAAAGTACATCCTCTTGCAAATGTCTAGTGAGAACATCCATGACTAAAGTAAAAAGATATGGGCTTAAGGCTGATCCTTGATGTAACCCAACCGAAATAGGAAAATACTTGGTCAAACCACCTTATGTTTAAACACAAGTAATAGCTCCTGCATACATATCTTTAATGATTTGAATATAAGCATTATAGACTCCTTTCTTTTCAAGAACTCTCCATAGCACTTCTCTTGG